GTAACTGAGAATAATGACTAAAATAGACATGATGTTGAAAGTGTTATGTACTAATCATGTGGTGGTAGTGGTGATGGAGTGGAGGTGGTGGTGGTGATGAAGTTGGAGTTGGTGGTTGTTGTAGTGGTGGTGGTGGTGGGGACGGCGGTTGTGGAGGTGGTGGTGCTGGTGGTGGTGGCAGTTTTGGTTGTGGAGATGGTGGTGGATGTGGAGGTTTTGGAGGAGGTGGTAATTGTGGTGGTGGTGGCGGTGGTGGTGGCGGTGGTTGTAGATGTAGTGAATGTGGTGGTGCAAGTGGTAGAGTTGGATGTGGAAGTGGAGGTGGTGTCATTTTTGAAAATGAATGATGGTATTTTGGGAATTTAAAAAATTCATTAAAGGTTCATCTTTACTTCTTTTAAAAGCAGCTATAAAAGGCAACTCAAGGTCTGCTTTTAAAAGCCGCTATCAAAAGGCCACTGCTTTTAAAATAATTGAGATATTTTATTTTTACTAAATACCTTAAACTGCTTAACTTTAAACTTATTCAAGGTATTTTGTTATTTGGGTTATTTTTTGATGAGTTTATTTATTATTTGGGTTGGTGTTATTATTTTGATGAAATTTATGATTTACATAATACATATATGAGCTTGATTTATTGAATGATGTTTTTATTAATTGGAATAAGTTTGGTATGTTTTTAGAAATATTTTTTGCATTGTTTCATCTTAAAAAGGAAATCGGAACTTTAACACTATGACGCCATAGAGTAACAATCCTAGATCCGCCACTGTTGGTGGGTGTATCAAAGTGCAAGCATTGCTTGAATTTGGTGCATATTAAACAAGTCTGAAAACTTAATAACGGTGGAGCAATGGAAGCTAATCAAGGTCTCTGATGTGGATTTCTTACCAAGGTGGAGATTGTTGAAGTTTGGTATGCCTATAAATCGTATGAGTCACTGAACATGCAAATGAATACAATATGAATGATAAAAGTGTTTGATAAATCAAAAACTCAACTTTCCAAAGTTTATGAACTGAAAATATGATTGTTAAAGATCTCTAAACAAAGAAGACAAAGGTCTTATTTTATAGATTTTTTCTTTACAAGAAAGAAAACACGTTGAAAACCAAATCTCCAATTTCCAAGGCTTGACAGAAAATCACGAAAGTATCTTTCCTATTCTAGAGATTGGTCACATGTAGTCCAACCAATAGGAAATGAGATATTTAAGAAAGGAAGATTTTGATCAATATCAATATCAAATGAATTCTTATATGCCTACTGAACTATTAAGGGTATCTTGACTCTTGATATTGTGATATGATTGAAACATGATTTCCCCATTAGAAAATTAAGGGGATGTTAAAACATGAAAGTAATAGGAGAATCAAATTGATTTGGGTCAAAATTGCCGAAAAAGAAAACACTCCTAAATAAACTTCAATTCACTTTTAAAAAAGGTAAATCAATAAAACGTGATTGAATCATCCTTTAAAACAATTCCCTAATATACATGCATGATAATGACATCACTTACCCCTGAATCAAATGCCTTTCATGGGTCGAGCCACAAGTCTGTGTTTTGGGGATTGCTGAGTTGCATTAATCCTGCCAATGTCAATTCTGCCCCTAGGCTCTCTCACTCAAAGCACGTTTACAACCTATGCTAACATATACTAGAGTTTATGCTAGTATCTAGAAAATGCCAACACTAATTTCGTACTAACAGACACACGTAGAAATTGTTAGAGATTGGAAGTTTTTATCATTTTTTCTTCCAGTTGCAAATCAAAAGCTTATTATCAAAAGTTTCAATTCCAGCCAGAGAATTTGTTGAACATAAACTTACCATTTGAGTTTGAGTCTTCGATTTGGGGCTTCCAGTTCCAGATAGAGAGAGTGATCGAGAGGAGCAGGCTTCGTCGATTTGGGGCTTCCAGACAGATTGACAGATCAACAGGTCATCAATTTGGGGCTTCAAAGACAGAGAGAGAAAGATCGAGAGATTGAGACAGAGAGAGATCGAGAGAGAGATACATAGATCGAGTCGAGAGAGAGAGAGAGAGAGATTGAATCGAGAGTGGGACAGAGATCGAGAGATCGATCAAATTCGAGAGATTGAGTGAGTGAGACAGAGATCGTGAGAGTGAGAGAGTGAGAAAGAGACAGAGATCCAAGGGTTTGGCCTGGTTCGATCGATCAAGGGCGACTGAGAAAGATCGAGAGTTTGATAGAAAGAGAGAGCTGGCTGGGAGTGGGAGGAGAGTTTGAGAGTCTGGGTCTGAGTGAGAGAGATCGAGTGTTGTCGAGAGTGAAAAAACTTGCGTGTATTTTTGTTTAGGGTTACTATTCGGTACGGTACGGTGGCATACGGTGGCTGATATTTGATACCGCACCCGTGTCATACAAGTGTGGTACGGTACGGTATGATACCGTTTTAATTCGGTGGGAGTTCGGTACGGTATTATATGGTATGGTATGACACGGTATTGACACGGTTTCGGTATATACGGTATAGATGCCCAGCCCTAACTTTACCTTTATCTCTGTGAATTTAAAAAGTTGAAACTTTAATGTCAAACCTCGACAAAAGATGAACTTCCATAAGTTACGTTAAATTTGGATTTGTTGAACTTAAGTGGTTTTACTTTCTCTGTCAGTGTTTGATGACTTAATTTGTTATTTACTGTCTTTTCCCTTGATCTTCCATCAATGGAAATGTGTTCCACCAACGTGAGGAAGAAAAATATGCACAAATTAATATATTTAATAGAAGCCCAAGATTTCGGAAGCACATAATTTCTACAAAAATCTACTAAGTGTTCTACTTTACAACCTTCTTATGTCTACCAATTTCTACTAAAATTAATTTCTCTGCGGTGCTCAGATTCATCATATGTGTGTCCTTAATTTTAGTAGAAATTGGAAGTTTCCATCATTTTTGCTTTAAGTCTCTCTTCTGAAGGAAGTTGAGGTTCCACCCCATAATCAAAACTGTCAGGTGTAGGAGTACTATGACCTTTTATAGCATTTTTAGTTTGAATTTGTGTTTTATACATAGATTTCGAAATTAATAGGTTGATGTCTAGGAAATAGAAATTGTAATGTAAGGGCTTATATTAGACTAGCCTCTTAAAAAAATATATTAATTAATGAATATTTGTTCTTCTTGTTGTTTTGAAGTAGTGGTGGGAGGCAGACCAACCAAAAAAAAATAGCGAAGGCTTATAAGAGCATTACAATCATGCTCCTTATTTTTTAGTTAAAATTTAACTATAAAAAAAAAAAAAGTTATTATAGTACCTCTTTATAAAATTTGAACTGCAATCATACTCTCTAGTTTAGGGAGTCATAAATAATATAGTTATTTTTTAATTCAATTTGATTGGTTAATCTCTATAAAAATAATAATATAAAAAATAGTTAGCATTAATTAAAAGTTTAAACTATGCATAAAACAAAGTAACATTAAATTATAGAGAGCCACTATGAGTCATTTCTCTCTCCTCAGATTTAGGAGCTACTAGAGGTCTCCCTATTTTAGGAGGTGGATAGGGAGCATGGTTGGAGTTGTATTTTTCCAATTTCCTCTTAAAATTTGTCTAAGGAGGTATAGTTTAGAGAGTCCATTGTGAATGCTCTAACTCTAGTAAAACATGAGTGATGTGGACAGCATCTGTTACGTCGTATTGAAAATTTTTGGGTTCCTTTAATTGGTTAAGTTTAGAGAATCCACAATGTGCTCCTTAAACCATCTCCTTAGACAAATTTTAGGGAGAAATTGGAAAAGTACAACTCCAACCATGTTCTCTATTCACCTCCTAAAATAGGGAGACCTCTAGGAGCTCATAAATCTGAGGAGAGAGAAATGACTCTTAGTGACAATTTAATATTGCTTTGTTTTATGCACATTTTAAACTTTTAATTAAATCAAATTATTTTTTTATATTATTTTGTATAGAGATGGACCAATTATATTGAATTAAAAAATAATTAAAGTATTTATGACTCTCTAAACTAGAGAGTACGATTAGAGTTCAAATTTTATAAAGAGCTCTTAAAATAGTTTTTGTGTATTTTTAACTAAATTTTAACTAAAACATAGGGATAGTTCAAATTTTATAAAGAGCTCCTAAAATAGCTTTTGTGTGTTTTTAACTAAAAAATAGGGAGCATGATTGTAAATCCTCTAATATACCTGAATTTGAAGATTCTTTATTTATTAATATTACTGGCAGACATCTTTGGCTGTTCATCACAATTGGGAGACTGATAGAAAATGGAGTAATGCAGATGTTACCAGCAATCCACGACAAACTGAAGGCTGCGCAATACTTGTCACCTTAGCCATCACCTACGCCAATTCCAATTTGTGTAGGCCAGGAGGCTTTCCAATTTTAATATATATATATGGAGAGAATAAAATAAAATAAAAATCAATCTATTATCATATATATTATAAAATAAAGATTATTGCTCCATCCTCCATGCACTTGCATGCCCCCTTACAAAGTGTGAAGTAGATTTTGTGTGCTCCAAGTCATTGACTAGAGCTGAAACATGGTTAGCTGGATTTATAAGATATTTTGTTTTCTGGGAATTTTCTGAACCAAGGAAAATCAAGTAAAATTAATAAAGCATAAATTGGAAAGGGAAAATATCTAGAGGATGCATGGTAGGATTGCTCATGCCAACAATTGTACCCTCTAATTATATAGGGACATATTTTTTTTGCTTTCATGACTTGTCGTCCTAAAATTATTGTTCCTAGCGGGCTCTCCACCCCCTCTCGATTGAAAAACAAACTGAAGGCTGCGCAATACTTGTCACCTTAGCCATCACCTACGCCAATTATTGCTCTCATACCACTTGTTGCAATATTTAATGATTAACTATGTATTTTATGGACCATCCAGCAGGTTTTGTCTCAAAAGTCAAAAACCTTCGGCACCTTTTTCCCACGTGCAACCGTCGTATTTGACTCACAATTATGTCTGATACAATATCACATCATGCCACTTGCCTCAAATGAATTTAAGTGAGTGAGCCAGTGGGAAGTAATTAAGCTCTATATTGGTGGGTGGAGTGTTACTTCTGGGTACCCCTCATCATTCCTCTATAAAATGGTGAAGCCAGTTGCTATTGTTACCATAAGAGCCAGCTCCAACTTTCTTTAATTTCTTGCTTCATATCCACTAGCTACATCTGTTGCCGAGTTAATTTCAGTCCTAATGGGTTTTCATCTCCCACTCATCTTTGCTCTTCTCAGTGTAAGCTCTGCAATTTGATTAACTTTTCCATTATCGCTCATTGTACTCTATATGAAGGAAAGTTTTATTTACTACTTAAGTGTCGTCCACTAATTAATTACACTTTGTGATTTTATTTTAATTAGAGTTGGAATTAATGTTGCAGCTAGCAGCAGTGGCACTGGCAAACCATGCTGCTCAACCAGCACCTCAACTTTACTGGAACTCCGTCCTGCCAAACACACAGATGCCAAGAGCTATCAGTGAACTTCTGCATCCTGGTTTGTGTTAAGCACTTTAGAATCTTAGATATCTTTTCTACATGCCATTTTACTAAAATTTGTTCGACCACATATTTATCGGTTAACTACTGTTTTCAAATTTATTATTAACCTCGACAAAAGTCATTGCATGAGAGTGTTTCTCCTAAAGTTGGGCTAATATTTAATTCTAGTGCATTTGTTTATACACATAAGCCTGACGTGGAAAATCATCACTGGGCTTCAGCTCAGTCTAGCCCCCTTTCACACGTATTCATAAACTGTAAAAACATACATGAACATACATGAGTAATTATAGTATGGTACTAGAGTACGTACAGCAACATATTCACAAATGTGTCACTCACTCTTCAATTGGCTGATCACTTATTTTCCATTATGACGTTGCTATATATAATTTGCAGACCCCACAAAGCCAATTGACCACAAGGGCAAACCTGAAAATACTGTACTACCAGAGCTACGAGTCCCATTTTTTTACAGGGTATATGATCATCCCACTGATAATCAACTCCATTATAAAAACGTAGCTATTTTCTTCTTGGAGAAGGACATGCGCTCTGGCACAACAATGAACTTCCAATTCCCTAGAAATTCAAACACGGCTACTTTCCTGCCACGAGAAAGCGCTCAATCGATCCCCTTCTCCTCTAACAAACTACCAGAAATTTTCAACCATTTTTCAGTGAAGCCAACGTCTGTGGAAGCCAAAACAATTAAGAAAACAATCGAAGAGTGTGAAGCTCCAGGCATTAAGGGAGAGGAAATATATTGCGCCACATCCTTAGAATCAATGGTTGATTTTAGCACTTCGAAGCTTAGAACAAGAAACGTTCAAGCAATCTCGACGGAAGTATTGGAAAAAGGAGCCACCATGTCCATCCACAAGTATACAACAATGCCGGGACTGAAGAAGCTGGCAGGTGACAAAGTCGTTGTGTGTCATAAGCAGAACTATCCTTATGCTGTGTTTTACTGCCATGCAATAAAACCAACAGCAGCTTATGTTCTCTCCCTGAAAGGCGACGACGGGGTGAAGGTTAAAGCAGTAGCCATCTGCCATCTAGACACATCAGAATGGAACCCAAAGCATTTGGCCTTCCAAATCCTCAAAGTTAAGCCCGGAACCATTCCCATCTGCCATTTCCTTCCCATTGATCATATTGTCTGGGTTCCGAACCACAAAACTGCATGATCATCACTTAGAACCGTACGTACAATAAGCTTGCAACCCTGTATAATTATCTCCCTACTTATTTCTCTCTCTTCATGTGGTGTAAGATATATGATGAGATGAAGTTTTTGGGATTAGTGGTCGGGTTGCCTAAAAAACGCAGATTACAGAAACTGGTTGAAATTAACCCGATCATGTTTTCTCTTGTAACTATATAGACTTCAACTTGTACTCATAAAGCATGCTATATTTATGAAGAGATATTAATCAGTGAAATCAGCAAACCATTTAGAAGGGAGTGTTGATGTGTAAATTGGCTTGCAGATTTACTTTTACAGTTTTACAGTATTACACCTGGTTGTGACTAAGTAACAGCTTAGGAATTGTGTAGCTTAGGAATTGTGTGGCTCAAAAGCCTATAGGAAATTGCCAAGTGTCATACACACATTGGTGGTTCAATTTTGTACCTTTGCTGATGTAAATCGTTTGATAAAAGAAGAGAATTAAAGCTGAGCTATTTGAACAGCAACTCATATACGTTTTCTGCAGAAACATATATTCTTCCAGCTCCTTCTTTCATCTCCTTCCCTTTTCTCCCTAAAATCCAAATCAACACCTAATATTCCAACATGGTATCATCGAGCCAGGTTCGTTCTTGAATCTGGGTGTCGATTCCGCTGCGGGTATTTGAAGATTTCAACGCAAAATCTTCATATCCTAAATCGATTCAGTCTCACATGGCTGGTTCGGTTGGAAGGGAGTCACGAACTCCAATATTCAATGGAGAAAACTACGAGCTCTGGAGGATTCGTATGAAGACGATTCTCATATCGTACGGAATCTGGGAATTGGTTGAAGAAGGTGTACCAATTCCAAATCCAAAAGGCAAGAAGAAGGAGACGGAGACATCGAACAAGTCGTTGTTGTCTGAGCTCTTGAAGCAAGATGCAAAGCGCTGGATCTCATCCAAGGAGCTGTTTCAGATGAGCTCTTCCCCAGAATTTCAAATGAGGTGACTGCAAAAGGAGCTTGGGATCTGTTACAGCAAGAATACAGAGGAGATGAGCGTGTTAGGTCAGTCAGACAAGTCGTTGTTGTCTGAGCTCTTGAAGCAAGATGCAAAGCGCTGGATCTCATCCAAGGAGCTGTTTCAGATGAGCTCATCCCCAGAATTTCAAATGAGGTGACTGCAAAAGGAGCTTGGGATCTGTTACAGCAAGAATATAGAGGAGATGAGCGTGTCAGGTCAGTCAAACTACAAGGTTTGAGAAGAGATTTTGAGTATACTCGTATGCGTGAAGATGAATCTCTATATGTTTATTTGACTAGACTATTTGAATTGATAAATGAAATGAAGAGCATTGGTGCCCAAATTAAAAACTTTGAATGAGAGTTATCTAAGAGTAGAGTTGTGCAGAAATTGTTGATAAGTCTTACTAAGACTTATGACCCTGTTTGCACGGTCATTGGATAGACCAAGGATTTGGATACAATAGAAGTGCAAGAGGTTGTGGCCACCCTAAAGGTGTTCGAGCAAAGGCTTGAGAGACACTCTGAAAATATTGTTGAGAAGGCATTTGCTAGTATGAGTATGAAGGGAGCCAACTCCTCATCTTCTGCAGGCAGTGGTCAATCCAAGAAGAATTGGAAGAATAAAGGAAAGAAGTGGGAAGATAAACCCAATTCGGGTGGGAAGAATGAAAACTGGAGGGGTGATCAATCTAACAAGTCTTACTAAGACTTATGACCCTGTTTGCACGGTCATTGAATAGACCAAGGATTTGGATACAATAGAAGTGCAAGAGGTTGTGGCCACCCTGAAGGTGTTCGAGCAAAGGCTTGAGTGACATTCTGAAAATATTGTTGAGAAGGCATTTGCTAGTATGAGTATGAAGGGAGCCAACTCCTCATCTTCTGCAGGCAGTGGTCAATCCAAGAAGAATTGGAAGAATAAAGGAAAGAAGTGGGAAGATAAACCCAATTCGGGTGGGAAGAATGAAAACTGGAGGGGTGATCAATCTAACAAGAATGATCAGAACAAAGGAACTTGCAAACACTGTAACAAGTTGCATTATGGTGAATGTTGGTCCAAAGATAAAGTTAAGTGTCATCGATGCAGCAAATTTGGTCACATTGCTAGGAATTGCTCTAGCAATATATAGAACAAGGCTGGACCAGTTGCTCATTTTGCAGAGAATCAAACATCGGAGACAACCAACATGTTCTATGCCTCTCATTCTTTGTCAAAGCCAACTGACTTTGGTGCTTGGTATATTGATAGTGGGTGCAATAACCATATGACAGCTCATGAGTCACTACTCTCTAACATTGATAGGAGCTTGAAATGCAAGGTGAAGATGGGAACATAGGAATTGGTTCAAGCTTCTGGAAAATGAACCCTTGTAATTGAGCTGAAGGATGGTCCCAGATACATACAAGAAGTGATGATTGTACCGGGCTTAGATGAAAATCTTATGAAAATCTTCTAAGTGTTGGACAAATGATTGAGCATGGTTATTGGCTAGTATTTGGTGATTCCATGGTGAACATATATGCTAATAAGGAAATGAAAGAGCTGGTGGCTAATGTTTCAATGAAAGGGAATAGATGCTTCCCTATGAAGTTTGAATTCATGAACCCCGTGATGGCAAATAAAGCAGAAGTTGAGGATCACTCATGGAAATGGCATAGAAGATTTGGTCACTTGAACTATGTTAGTCTGAAGATGCTACAAGATAAAGAAATGGTGGTTGGACTCCCTAAGTTGGAAAGTTTTAGAGATGTGTGTGAGGGTTGTGCTACGGGCAAGGCTCACAGAGAAGCATTTGACAGAACTGAAGTGTGGAGAGCTTCACAACCATTGGAGTTAGTACACTCAGATGTGTGTGGCCCGATGCAGGTCACTACAATTGGAGGAAACAGATATTTCCTCACTTTCATTGATGATTATACAAGGATATGTTGGGTGTTCTTTTTGCAACACAAATCAAGTGTTTTCTCAGTGTTCAAAAGATTTAAAGCCATGGTCGAGTTGCAAAGTGGATTTCAGATCAAGAAGCTAAGATCAGATATAGGTGGTGAATACACTTCAACAGAATTCAGCAAGTTCTGTGAAGACTTGGGACTTGAAAGGCAATTAACAGTGGCCTATTCTCCTCAACAAAATGGAGTTGCAGAGAGGAAGAATAGAACCATTGTGGAGATGGCTAGAACAATGCTTCATGAAAAAAGAATGCCTACCAAGTTCTGGGGAGAAGTAGTTAACACTGCTGTCTACATTCTCAATAGGTGTCCTACAAGTGCTCTTAAGAACAAGACCCTGTTTGAAGCATTCAGTGGAAGAAAACCTGGAGTAAAGCATATGAGAGTGTTTGGTTCTCTCTGCTATACTCAGATTCCATCTCAGCAGAGGCATAAGTTGGAAGAAACCAGTGAGAAGGGAGTCTTTGTTGGATATGGAACATGTGAGAAAGGGTATAGGGTGTTTAACCTGAGAACTCATAAAGTAATAGTGTCAAGGAGTGTGATATTTGATGAGAAATCTTTGTGGAATTGGGAAGCGAATGAAGAGCTGCACATGTCAATTCCTTGGGATAGTAGTAAGGAATCAAGAATAACTGAAGGTGAGGAGGAGTTTGAATCACCTAATCAAGCTCTAGAATCACCAAGTGTCAGATCATCACCAAATGCGATCACTACCTTAGCCCAAGAGAGGAGACAAGCTTCACCAAGACCAAATGAAATTGAAACATCTGAGCCCTATGATCATACACCCTTGAAGTGGAAGAGTCTAAATGACATCTTCGCACAATACAAAGTAAGCATTGGGGAACTTGAAAACTTTGCTGAAGCAACTCAAGATGAGGCTTGGAATCAAGCCATGAGAGAAGAGATCACAATGATCGAGAAGAATTCTACATGGGATATGGTTAATAGACCTGGTAACAAACCAGTTGTCGGTGTGAGATGGATCTTCAAGACAAAGCTGAATCTTGATGGTTCTATCCAAAAGCACAAGGCATAGCTTGTAGCAAAGGGATACACACATAAGCCAGGAGTAGATTTCAATGAAACTATTGCTCTAGTGGCAAGATTGGATACAATTAGAACTCTAATTGCTCTGGCTGCTCAAAGGAATTGGAAACTTTTCCAATTGGATGTGAAATCAGCATTTCTAAATGGAGTGTTGAAGGAGGAAGTTTACATCGAGCAATCTAAAGGTTTTGAAGTTAAGGGAGAAGAAGACAAGGTCTATAAGTTAAAGAAGTCTCTTTATGGCTTGAAGCAGGCACCAAGGGCATGGTAGGGTGAAATTGATACTCATCTACTCAAGTGTGGATTTCAGAGAAGCATAAGTGAAGCTACTCTGTATGTGAAGACTAAAGAAGGTATTGGTACAGTCATTGTGTCAATTTATGTGGATGACATTGTGTACACTGGAAGCAGCAGTGAAATGATGAAAGAATTCAAGGAGGATATGATGAACAAGTATGAGATGACTGATTTGGGCTTGCTGCGTCATTTCCTAGGAATGGGGGTAATCCAAAAAGAAGGGAGAATCTTCATTCATCAACAGAAGTATGCCAAGACTCTGCTTGACAGATTTGGTTTGAAGGACTGCAAACCAGTGAGCACACCACTAGTCCCAACAGAGAAACTCAAAAGAGAAGATGAAAGTGAACTTGCAGATGAGGAGACCTACAGGAAAATTGTGGGGAGTTTACTGTATCTTATAGCAACTAGGCCTAACATCATGTATTCAGCTAGTTTGCTTGCCCGTTTTATGCATGGTCCCTCAAAGAAGCACTTTGGCGCTGCAAGAAGAGTATTAAGGTATGTACAAGGAACTCTGGATTTTGGCATTGAATATGTGTCTGGAAAATCTGCTGTCTTAATTGGCTTTTGTGATAGTGATTGGAGTGGTTTAGAGGAGGATATGAAAAGCACATCTGGGTATGTTTTTTCATTTGGCAGTGGTGCAATTTCTTGGGCCTCAGTGAAGCAAACCAGTGTTGCTTTATCAACTGTAGAGGCTGAATATGTCAGTGCTGCAGAAGCAACAACTCAAGCAATTTTGCTAAGATTTGTGCTGGGAGATTTTGGAGAAGAACAACTTGAAGCTACACCAATCATTTGTGACAACACATAAGCTATAGCCATGTCCAAGAATCCCGTGTTCCATCAAAGGTCAAAACACATAGGAAGAAAGTTCCATTTCATCAGAGATGCAATTCAAGAAGGAGTGGTGGATCTGATCTATTGCAAAGGTCAAGATCAAGTTGCAGACATCTTCACGAAGGCATTACCAAAGGAAAGGTTCTGCATTCTAAGAGAGCTACTCGGAGTGAAATCAGCAAACCATTTAGAAGGGAGTGTTGATGTGTAAATTGG